TGTGACAGCCCACAGAGGCACTGAAGGGAGAAAGTTCTCATGTGTGTCACCTCAGGAAACGTGTTCTGGAGTCTTCCCCGCCTGCCCTCCTCTTCACCTGTGCCTGAGCATGAGTCACTGACATGTACAATTACTTAAGTTGCTTTATCAACACTATTTCAGAGGTGGTGAGTATAAAACATTTGTGAAAGGGTGAAAAAATACCCAACACTTGAAATGCAACCCCAATAGAACACCTGTGTTCAAACTCAGGAACGCCTCCCCTGCACGTGGGTGTCGGGGAGCAAAAGCCAAAGATGCTCTGTGTTAGAGCACAAGCTCTGGTGTCGCTCCTGCGCTCCGCGACGCCAGGGGCTCAGTCGCTAAGTCTCAAGCCGACACCACAAGTCAGAACTGACTTCCTCCCTCTCGTCTCCTCCCCAGAATCGGCCAGGAATTCCTCTGTATCAGTATTGGCCTTGGCCTTACCCTGATGGGCGGCAGGGAGCACAGTGCACCCAGATGGGCCCTCGGCGCCCACGCCCCGGCCCAGCCCACCCAGGGGTGCGACCTCATCCTGCAAGGGGCCTCCACACCAGCTCGTATCCCTGGCTGAGTGTGAGCTGGTATCTAGGACATGTGAGGGGCACTGTGCGAACCCACAGGGCTTCAGCTTAGCGACAGCAAGTCCAGACCAGACGGGGCTTTTCAGGAGCCGCAGCAGTTAGCCGAGGACGTTCCCGAGCGCGCACCTCTCCCTGCTGCTCCTTCCTCTTCCGGCTCTCCTCCCCAGGCACCCTAAGTCCGGAGCGGTCCATCCTGAAAGAGAACAATGTGTTTCATGCTCACATGACTGCGGGCTCGCTGTGGGACCCCTCATCCCATAAACGCGCCTTTTCTGCCCCACTCCCAACCCCCTTCTGCCTCGGGTCAATCTGCGCCCGCCTGCGCCAGCCCGCCTGCGCCCGGGATCGCCCCTCGCGGCCCTCTCAGTTCTGCTCCTTCATCACCCCGGAAGTGTGGTCCTCTGGCCTCCCCCCACCACGTGGGGTCGCCACCCCCTCCCCACAGCGCCCACTGTGCCCCCCATTCCGCCTCCCGGCTCCCGCGCCCCTCTGGCTCAGCTTCTCGGGGGGCCCTGGCCGCCCCCGCCCACGGAGGGAGCGGGGAGCGGGGGAAGCCGCCTGCGGGGAGCGCCCCGTTGCCGGGGCTGGAGAGCCGACAGCCCGGGTCGCCCGCGAGGGGTGGGGCGTGCAGAGGGGCGGCGCGAGCTGAGGGGCGGCAGGCGCGGGCCTGCCCGGGGCTCCACGCTGCCCCGAAGTCGGTACCGGGTCTGAAGCGAGAGGCGGGGTCGACGCCGGCCCAAGAGCCGCTCCCGGCCACGCACGGACTCACGGGGTGGGGGTGAGGTCTGTGGGGACCCCGACTTTGAGCACGAGGGGCTGCGGCGGCGAGGCGCGGAGTTACAGCGGAAAGATGCGAGCGCACGCTCCGACGGCGCGACCCTTGGCGCCAGCTCTCCGCATCCGGGTCTGCAGGAAACCGCGCGTGCGTAAAGCGGCCACAATCGGGGGCGGGGCCTGGCGGAGGGGCGGGGCCTACTCGGGGCGGGGCCGTCGTGGGGGCGGGGCCGGCGCCGGCGCGGGGATCCTTCTCCAGATTCGTCCTGTCCTTTTTCCTGTGTTCACAAAGGCTCCACAAGTTTTTCATTGTTCAGCACAGTTGCCCGTTTAAGGTATCCCTTAACGTGTGGGCACTGGAGCTGTAAACTATGTTTTCCTCTAAATAAGTTAAAAACTAAGTCACAAGAGAGAAGGGGTTAACAGCCGAGATGTAAAAAAAAAAAAAAAAAAAAAAAGACACCTCGATTTAAGGACAATAAGCCAAACCACCAAGGGCAGCAGATGCAGTCACCAAAGAGCTCCACCGGCCAGTAGGCACATGGGAGGTGCTAGGCATCGCTTTTCACCGGGAGATGAACATCGAAGCGAGCATGAGGTCCCTACTACGTCACACCCGTGAAAACGGCACATACTAACCCCCCCCCCCCAACGAGTGCTGGAGGTGAGCAGCCTTTCACTGCTGGTGGGAATGCGAGCTGGCGCCCCGTTCAGGGGCGTGCTCTGCGCCACACTTGGCCTTAAGAAACTGAACATGGGGCGGGCGCAGGACGCGGCAACCCCAGTTTGGGCATTTATCTGGCGAGAATGAAGCCATGCGTTACAGACGTGTTACACTCCACAATATTTATCAGAGCGCCATTTGCAATAGCGGAGCTCTTCAGTCTTCCTGCCCTCTGTAGAGGTAAAGATGGGGGTCTCCCACACCCTGATACTACTCCAGTCACAAGGGAAAATGTTACCATTTAAAGCAAAATAGGAGTTTAAGGAAATTATATGTTGTGAAGCAAATCAGATGACTCCACAAAGCCGAACACAAGAGCCAGCAGATAAAGGGAGTCTGGGTTTAGGACAGCTGTGAGGGGCAGGTAGCATCAAAGGGGTGTAGAGGATGGTGGGAAGGAAGGAAAAAAAGAAAAAAGAATTTCTAGCTTGGCTCTCAGTTGATGGCGGCCGTTGTCATCACAAAAGGAACACTTCAGGATCTGGGAACTGGGATCTTGGGAAAGGTGATGAGGGCACTTGAGACCCAGGAAAGTTTCCTGCAGTTGTGACTAATTTAAGAATTTAAACAATGGGAGATCACAAACTAGTAGGTGAGACACGAAACTGAAAAAACTGGGCAGCTTCATACTGACACCAACAGGCACATCCATTTCTATCCTACTTTTGCCTCAGAGACAAGACTCGACCTCCTCCTCAGTCCGGCTGCTTGCAGGCCAAACCCTGCAATGGGAGGCCTGGCCTGTTAAAGTGAGCAGCGAGTTGCATGGTCTTTGATGTGGGTGGAATCCCGCCCTCAGCCTCGCTTGGTGGGTTGTTAGTCTGTATGATCTTACAGAAGGGCAATAAAACTCAGTTGGTCAAAAGTAATTCAGAGTTATGAAAAAAAAAAAACATTAAATGTTATTAACTGCATCAGAGACGCAACATGCACTGCCAGCAGGCAAATAGGAATCGTGCACTATTCTGGTTTTCGGTAAACTCCCCTCCCAGCTAACTGCTCTCAACTTCCAGGGACACATCCATTTGTCACGAGTCTATACTACAGTCACTGGCATCCGATGGAGAAAGTGACCATTTCCTTGCATTACTTCTGCCAAATAATCAGAGGCCAGTTACTTATGGAGACCACCCCTCCAGTGAGAAATCCAGTCACTAAATGTGCTGGCAGCTCTCCCTCATGGTCACGCGGCAGGATGTTCTTTCCTACCACTCACAGTGATCTCTCTAGAGAAGGTCCCCTGAACATAACTTATTTCATAGTTTTATGTTGTCCTAAAGCTAATTCACAACAATTGAATCAGAGTCCTTGTTTTGCCAGGGAACAAGTGTGAACATATCCAATGAGGTTGTCTCATCTTACACATTCCCAGGTATCACGGAAGTGAGACGGGGCGGAGAGGGCCCCAAAGGCCCACAAGGCAGGAGGCCAGATGAAAGGGCCGCCCACCTGCCCAGGCTCTGAGACCTGAGAGCCACCAAAAAGCCCCAAAAATCCAAAACCACAGGACAGTGCCTGATAAAAGGACAGGTCACTGTGTGTGGGTTCAAAATGGCAGTTAACATACACAACTGCAAGAGGCCCTAGGCTCAGGGAAAAACCATAGGCTTTATTTTACAAACAGGGGAAACAAAGAGCTCACTGTATCCACAAATGGTGGGTGGCTTCCTCACCCAGAGTGTCAGTGGTGGTCGCCAGGAGTGCTGGACAGCACTCAGTAGTGATGGTGGTGTCAGAGACACCCAGTGTTAACAGCTCTTTTGTGAGTTGTCCAGCTACCCCAACAACAAACAGCTTTGTGAGACACCAGGCCTGGCGCTGGTGCTCCTTTCAGGTACCAAAAGAGACAGGACAGAGGCCTGGTCTCAGAGTCCTTCGACTTCTCCCTCCTCAGAGGGCAGCTGCTGGATGTTTCTTCTCTCTTCTCCAGAGGCCAGGAATGGAGTCTCCCCCTTCTTTGTTTCTTCTCTTTTGGTCTTCTTTTCTTACCTTCAAGGGCTTCTCTCTTCCTTCCAGCCTCCTCTTTGGCTACCTTCAGCCCTGGCTTATATCCGTTTTCACTCACAAGTCTGACTGGACCATTTAGCATGAATCAGCCCCAGGCTCACCCTGATTGGTCCATTACAAAATGGCGATTATTACATCAGGAACAACTGCCACAGGTGACAAAAGGGCTGCTCTGAGGAGCAGCTTGTCAGGACTGAATTGTGGTAGGTTGAAAGAACCAGTGCTCCTGCTGACTCCCACCACTGAGGCAGCAGGGACCAGGTAACAGAACGTCTATGAGGAAGGCAGAAAGTCAACAGGTAGTTTGGTAGAAAGTCAGCAATAGTAATGGTGCCTCATAAAACTCAAGTTAAACATTCTATAGACTGAATGATTACTTACATATCACTGGTCTCTGTGATATGCACCAATATACCGTGAATTTTAATATTCGGGACTGTAATTATTTGCTGCCTTAGAGAACTAGAAGCTACTAGTAGTGTTAAGGGGAAGGATGTCCTAAAGAAACTCTGCAGAGTTTGGTGGATTCCACCCCCTACTCCAGTGATTGGAAACTACAACTCCCAGTAGTACCAGGGAGAGGACTGTGAGGACCCAAGGGCGGAGCTAAGCAGGCATTCTGGGACTTTGGGGGATAAATAGAGAGCCGTTTTCCAACTGTCGCTCTGTGGAGATGTTAACGGTTCTCTCTCTGGAGCAATGGCTCTCAGACTGTGTGACTGGGGGCTAGCAGTGTCAGTCTGTGACTACCAGTGAGTTCCAAGTTAGCTGAGCTGGTGAGGTATTCCAGTTACTTTGTATCCCTCTCTTTCTCTAGCTTGTTCCTTTTCCTTTCCCCTTTTGGTAAATAAACCCATCACCCTTTTTGTGTGTATCTGCAGAAAATTACATTTTAAGCACGAGGGTGAGGCCCCACAGACAGGCAGCCCAAGTCACTCTGGGCTGCCCTGTAACAGTAATATGCATTTTCCCATCCAATATGAGAATTCTCGTCACGCAATTCTCATTACTCAAAAGACAAAGTTGTTCAATAAATCTTCAGGTATCTGTTACCCTTGTAAAGATGCTTTCCAATATAAGTCCTCAGATCCTTCACAATCTTGATCTTGGGGCAGAAGCATTAGCAGGTTCATTACTTTCCTGCGTTTCTTCCTGAAAGATTCCCACATCCCGATCTCATGCACTGAGTCCTGGGGAAAGCTCCTCATTTACAGGTCACTCTTCAATACATCCAGTTGCTGCATATTTATACTCAGGTAAAGGCTTTGCCACACTCACTGCAGCTGTGAAATCTCTGTCCAGAATGTGCCAACTTTGATCTTTGCGTAAATGCTTTGCCACACAGAGTATCCACATTACCTGTGTGCACATTCTTGTATTCAGTGAAGAGTGAGCAATCTTTGCTATCCCCGACACATCTGTAAGTATGAACTGTTAGGTGAGCCTTGAGCTTCACATAATACTATAAGCCTCAAGTCATCCAATAGCCGGAGGCTTCTCTCCACCATGAGCTACGAACACTGGTGGAGTGTGAACCTAAGTAAAGGTCACATCACACTCGTGGAGAAAAACGCTTCACTTCAGAATGAACTCTCTGGTCATCCTACTGGCTACAGATCTGGCCATATTTATACACGGTTTCTGCCCATGTATATTGCTTCACAAAGAATAACCTGCCAATGGCTGGGGGGACATTTGTCTCTCAGGTCTCTCGCCAATGTGACCATGTGGTGTTTACCTGGATGTGAACAGACACTGCACGAGTCCTCACAGTCATGACTACATGTGCGAGGTTTCTCACCATTAGGAACTCTCTAGTGGCTCACAGTGTGAACTGTGGTGAAGACCTTGCCACACATTGCTGATGTGACTTCTCTCCATGTGGATTACCTGATATGCTCTTACTGGGAGACCCAAGGAAAGGCTTTACCACACGCTTCCTCCTCTCCAAAAGTTTGTCTGGCGACTTGCGAGACCTGTGTTTCAACTAAAGCCTTTGTTGCACCGATTCCAGTTGCACGGCTTCTCTCTAGTGTGACTCTTCAGATTTTCAAACAGATTTGTTCTGTGGGTGAAACTTTTATCCACATTATATTCGTATGGTTTCTCTGCAGCATGTGTTCTCCAATGCTTTGCCAGGCTTGAATTTTGACTAAAGACCTTGCCACACTCATCACATCTGTAAGGTTTCTCTCCTGTGTGAATTCTCCTGTGCTTTGTGAGGACTGCATTTAACCTAAACACTTTACCACAGTCAGTACACTTGAAGGGCTTCTCTCCGGTGTGTATTCTCCGATGAACTGCAAGGTTGAAATTTTGACTAAAGTCTTTGCCACATTCGTTACATTTATATGGCTTCTCTCCATTATGAATTCTCCGATGTTTTGCCAAGCTTGAATTTTGACTAAAGACCTTGTCGCACTCATTACACTTGTAAGGTTTCTCTCCTGTGTGGATTCTCTGGTGATTTGTAAGGAGTGAATTGCGCCTAAACACTTTGCCACAATCATTACATTTGAAAGGCTCCTCTCCAGTGTGAATTCTCCTATGAATCGTGAGGTTAAAATTCTGAGTGTAGACTTTGCCACAGTCGTGACACTTGTACGGTTTTTCTCCAGCGTGTGATCTCTGATGACTTACAAGGAATGAATTTTCACAGAATACTTTGTCACACTTGCTACATTTATAAGATTCCTCCCCAACATGAATTCTTAGATGATTTGTTAGGTCTGAATTCCCACTGAAGACCTGGCCACATACATGACATTTATGCGCTTTCTCTCCTGTGTGGCTAATCTGATGTGTACCGAGTTCTATGCCCCGAATAAAGGTTTTGCCACACTCGTTACATTCGAAGAGTTTCTCTCCAGTATGAATTCTCCGATGCTTCACAAGCTGGGAATTTCGACTAAAGACTTTGCCACACTCATTACACTTGTACGGCTTTTCCCCAGTGTGAATTCTCCGATGAGACTCAAGGTCTGAGTTTTGGCTAAAGGTCTTGCCACACTCAGGACATCTGTAAGGTTTTTCTCCAGTGTGGATTCTCTGGTGCTTTGCTAGGCTTGAATTCTGACTGAAGACCTTTCCACACTCGTCACATTTATACGGTTTCTCTCCTGTGTGGATTACCTGATGTCGAGTGAGGTGTGAGGCCTTAGTAAAGCCTTTGCCACACTCATTACATGCAAAAGGTTTCTCTCTAGCATGCACTCTTTGGTGCATCCTGATGCTAGTCCATTTCCGAAAGGCCTTGCTGTATTCATACAGATTCACTTCCAGGTGGGTTCCCACTCTACTGAGGTGGGAGGACTGGGAAGTTTTGCCACACTTGTTTCCTCGGTAAAGGTTTTCCCCCTGTGCATTCTGATCGTGTGTCTGTATTGAAAGATGTGTTAAATCACTCCCAAATATATTACAAATATTGGTTTGGACAGCAGGAGGAATACTCTGAAATGGTGAACCCGAGGAACAGTTGCTGATAGGCTCAGCCTGATGACATTCATAGAAGTTTCCTTCAAGGTGAAGCATCTGCAGAGTGTCCTGAGAGCGGGCACGAAGTCCTTCCTCAGTAGGTATACTTTCTGCACCCATCCCCTCACGCTGCCCGTGTCCACACAACACAGTGTCTTTATGGGTCACGGGGCCTCTGTAATTCATCTTATCATCTTGCCACTGATACTGCAAGTCGTGTATGTTTTCCCAGATTTGCTGGAAGGAAAAATCTTTGCCTTCATTGCTTCTGTAGCTTTCCAGCATTCGTGTGTGGAATACTTGTGCTGTATTACTGTGCTCTTTGGTTTGTGATTTCTTTACCCCACGTGCATCAGAGCTATCTTGAAAGGCAGCTATAAGATATCAAAACCACAGATATCCGATTAATTAGCTTGTAAATTAAATTTTCACACCGAAAGCATGAGCAAAAAGGGTACTATTTGACTCAGCAGACTCATGAAACTTCCCAATCTAACGAATTTTAAAGGAAATTAATAGATGAAAAATCTTCACAAACAAGTGAGCTATTGCGTTACACAAACTAACTCGCGGTAGCCCGGGACTGATCATCCTGCGACAAAACACACGTATTGCACAAATTCACATGAGCTCTTAGGGAAAGCGCCTTTGCCAAGCCTGACCCGAGAGCACATTCCACTCGGTAGTAGAGACAGAACAGAACCAATCGGTGGACCCCGGGGACAGGCACACTTCACAGGAAGATAAGACGGAGAGGAAGGCAGGGCACAAAAGACCTGTGTCTTCCCTAAAGTATGGAATTTGCAGGATCGTAGACCTTGTAGAAATTACAGATGTTACCAAGGAAGCAAAGACGAGAAGTGCAAGCAACAGGCTGAGTCTGCTGTTACACAGACTCCAGCATTAACTCAACAACCAACATGGACATGACGGCCCTCGACGCGAAAGCGGCCCCCGGAAGACAGCAGTTACCAAGCACCAACGGCGGAGTGAAGCCATCGCAAACGCAGGCATCGGGCACAGGAACGGAAAGGTGCTGTGGAAAAAGCTAACAAGTCTCATGAACACAGGAAGGCCAAAGTATTTAAACATGGCACACTGAGAGTCTCACCCACGGTGGAGCCGAAGACGGAGGAGGTGGAAACCAGGCACAGTCAGAGTATAGAAATGTGCACGGTGAAAGAAACAGTGACCGAAGTGAGGCCCAGGGCTGCCGCAGCCTCACAAGCTCCTTCATCAGGGCGCTTCTGAGCCGCACCACCGCAGCAGGATGAGCAGGGCAATAGTCTGGTCGGGGCCTCGGAGACGGAGGACCGAGCTGGGAGTGTCCCCAGCAGATGGGCCCTTCCCGGGACTGTGGCCCAAAGGGGTGATCATTAGCATCTGGGGTCAACACCATCACTGTTCCTTGAGAGATGCTTTTGTGATACTTGTCAAAACTGGAAAGAGAAGTGGACACTGTGGTGATGCTTCTGTCTCCCATCCCGGGCTATGCTGACCACTCTATTGAGAAGCTTCCAGTTGCGTCTGGGTGCAGCTGGGTAACATTACAATGAATCAGCCACAATATTCTGCATCATCTTGAGTTACCAAGTAAACCCACTCAATGGCAGGGCCTACCAGATGGCGTCCGTCACCAAAAGATGGATGAACACAGCCAAAACACGTAAGCTCAGCCGCGAGGCAAGAGCAGGAAGTCTACATTCCCGAAAAGGCAGGGGGATCAAAAAAGAGGGCCTGGGCTCTGCCCACAGGGAGAGAAGCCACAGCTCGAAAGAGCAGGCGTTGCATCCCATAAGAGTGGGCCGAAGACAGGTCTCTTTTGCCCCATCTGCAGCCTTGTCACATGACGCCTGGAGAAGACCCAATTCTCCTCAGTGCTGTCTCACACACACCTCAAGTGAGGCAAAAGGAGGACAGAAGAAATCAGTGGCCTGAACAAGGACTGGGCTCAAAAGAGCTCCCTTCAGTTTCTGGGGCGCGAGGAGGAGGGGAAGGGCAGCAGGCTTTCCTCGCTCCTGATGGGGCCTTCCCACAAGGCCACAGCCTGCACCGAGTCAAGACACAGCTAACAGAGCCGTGGAGCAAGCTAAAGACTTTGCCCTCAGCTCAGGGAAGCGCCGGGGACAAGATGGGTAAACGAAGAGGAGAAAAGTAGCTTCCCATGAGAATTCTGTCAAAACTTCGGTTTCCCAGAGAACCGTCCCACATGGGGAGTGTCCCAACCCCATTAAAGGGGCAGTTTCTCTGCCTTGCTGAGTTCTTACCTGGGCCCGCACCTTCCTCATTTCCCCACACATCTGGCTTGTTCATTGTCTTCACTTCACTCTCCACAGCCCAGGGCTCCTTCCCTTGATCCACAAAGGAGACGATATTCAGATCGCAGACAGACCTTCTGGCTGGTAGGAAGAAAGCAACGTGACACTGTGGCTTTTCCAGAATTCCTATTCTTTGCCCCACTGAGGGGAGAGGACACTACAGACAGCCTTTAAGAAGTAGTTGACAAATCTGTCCACTACTCGCCTCCTGAATGAACAGGGGGACCAGATACGTAGCTCTCTGCCAGGATGACCGAAGCAAAGGACGTGGAGAAAGCAGGGAACCGGACATTTTGAGTCTGCCACCAAGGGGCAACCCCTGAGGTAGCGGAGAGGGCCGGTCCTCTGAAGAAAGGTTAAGTGTAATGTCCAGATGCCACCCATGAAGCTTTGCGTCCCTCAGCGGCAGTGAGTGGGGGCTTCCGAGGGGCACAAAAGGGCAAGAGCAAAGGCAGCCAAGGGGGGGGCTCCTCACCCAGAAAAAGCAGGTTCCTGTAGGTCTCCAGCATCACATCCCCGTACAGGGCCCGCTGCGCAGGCTCCAGGCACGCCCACTCCTCCTCGGAGAACTCGACGGCCACGTCCTTAAAGACGAGCAGCCCCTGAAACACACACACTCGTGCAGGGCCGCGAGGCCTTACGGTCACACAGCGCGAGATATGTGAGGTGGGATATGGCGTGAGGACTCCGGCGGGCCACTGAGAGGCCTTTTGACTTTCTTTCTCCTTTTCCTAATAAACCAATCCTTTTAAACTGTAAAAAATGAGTAAATAAAAGCATTTTGGGGAAGCTACGTCTCTGCCATAGGTTCTTAGGCTTTTCCGTGAGAAACTGGTACCCGCCGGATTTGCACTTTGGGGCTAACACATGACATGTGCATGTGGAAACCAGCGGCGCTGGCCTGCAAGGAGGCCCCTGCTCTGCCCCCACGGGCTCTGCAGCACCACAGTGCGCCCGAGTGCTGTCTTCAGACGTGACGGCGCCCGTGGTGGCTTCGAGGAAGGGCTGAGCCTTCAGCTGTGGTGGTGGTGAGCACAGCAACGAGTGAAGGTTTTCTGAGCGGTCCCCACTGCTGAGCTTTGCCCTAAACGCTCCGTGTGCTAACCTGGGGTCAACAGCTCCCGAGGGAGAGGCCTGCACACCCAGGAGGACGCCGCCACAGACGCTCGTGGGGCTCTGCTCAGTCAGAGCAATCATCAGGCCACCTCGAGCACCAGAACTTGGACTGTCCAGTTTTAGGAGCCGTAAGAAGGAACCAGTGACATAACCCATAGAAAAAGAGGGCTGCCTGGCCAGCAGGCGTGGACAAGCTCAAGGCCAGGTGCGTGGACTCGGGCAGGCTCCGATGAAGGTGGGGACTGGAAGGCGGAGACAGAAGCACCTCACGGGCGCATCCACAGAGCGGCCCAGGAAACTGCCGACGCGAGGACACCCGCTGGAGGGGAGGGCAAGGCCTTTCTGAATGGTTTCTCAGGTCAGCGTGTGCCCTTCTCCAAGGCCCCCTCCCCACGCAGAGCGGAGACCGCAAGACAGAAAAGTCCAGGAGCCATGCAGGGCTGGGTTAGCAGGTCTGCCTTGCCGAGGCTCCAAAACCAGCCTGCAAAGCTGGGTTTGTGAGGAAGGAGAACAGCGTACCCAGCAGGCAGAGCTTTCCATCTGCAGGCAGTGCTCACGACTCCCACGCCCTGAGTCTAGAAGCTTCCTCAGTGTTTCCTGTTTTGGCATTATGTTTTTCTTTAAAAAGTTAATAACATGGGGGGCCCTCCCTGGTGGCGTGGGGTGAGTCTCAGCACTATGAGGCTGTCCAGAGCCAGTGTGGCCTGAGTTCGATCCCCAGCCGTGTAGTGACCACAGGGCACAGCAGACCTCTCCTGTCTCACCCGCTGCTCCCCTCTGCAGTGGAGTTCAGTGGATCTGCCTGTTCTGCCCCCCACTCTGTCTCTGGTGATTCCTCTCATCCCCTACACCTCCAGTCTACACCCCAGTTCTTATATGCATAAATAAATAAAAATAAGTCTTAATTTTAAAAAAGGAAAGTCTGTTATTAAACAAGGACATTTCGTGAAATAATATCGCATCTGAAGTCCCCAAGCACAGTGACCGGCACACAACACTGGGCACACTGTTGCTGAAATCATGGTGCAGAGAGGAACACTGGTGGGGCAGGGACCTGCCCTGGCCTCTGTGCAGCCATCTTGGGCAGGAGCCAGAACAACAGGTAAAAGGTGGACAAAGCTGGCCAGCAAATGAGCGGGCGTCCGAGAGCTAGCATGCTTGAACAGCACGGCCTTGGGTGGGACGAAGGGGGAGGAGGGAGAAGGACGCTCCATGTAAGAGGGCCCTAACAGGAGCAGGCCTTGCTGTTCTCTGTCAGTGATGCAAAAACTGGCACAGGAAATAAAGGTCATCATAGGTGAGGGTCAGCTTCCCGGGAAGATACAGCGATTACAAGAATATACGCAGACACGCCCAAGTATGGAAAGCAATCCTCACCTGAAATGCAGGAAGAAACAGACAGCAACTCACTGGCAGTGTGCTAGTGTTAGGAATGGACAGAACAGACAAACACAATCAGCAGCAGACGGGGCCGAGCAACGCCACAGCGGCACAAACCCTGCAGACGCGGACGTGCCGTCAACCGCAGCAGGACACGAATTCTCGAGCACACAGAACACTGTCCGCCACACACCGCGTGGTAAACAGACCGCAGCACCTAACAGATATAAGAGCAGGACGTAGCAAGCATCTTTAACCCCACTGACACGAAACCGGAAACAGAAGACGCCGTCAAATGTGGAAACTAGACCACTGATTCTTAAACTATCTGTAGGCCAAAGAAATCACAAGGCAACATTAAAACATCTGGCTGAAAGTGAAAATATGATGTATATCAAAACATAAGGAACACAGTGATGAGGCAATAAAAGAGAAGTATACAGTGACAAGTGCATGAAAAGAGGGAAGCTCTCGGGCCCTCCTTGGTACAACAGGTGAAAGCACAGCACGATGAAGCTGTCCAAAGCCACTGCAGCATGAGTTCGACCCCCGGGCAGGGAGTGACCCCTAAGGCACAGCAGACCTCTCCTGCCTCACCTGCTACTCCCCTCAGCAGTGGATTTCAGTCAGTCGGCCTATTCTGCTCCCCACCCTGTCTCTGGTGAATCCTCTCACAGCCCCTGCACCTCTGGCCTGTACCCCTGTTCTTGTATTCATAAATAAAAAATCTTTTAAAAAACAAAAAACAAAAAAAAAAAATCTTTAAAAAACACCCCGTCATCACGACGGGGTGGTGCTGGCAGAAACACGGCTACATAAAACAACACACGACAGCCCTCAGACACAGGCCGGTGTCCTGGAGAGCGCGAAGGGCTTTTCAGGAACACAACCTCACCTGAGAAAGGTCCATCCCTGCCACCGCCTCCTCTCCGGGCAACGAGGTCTTTACCAGCCAGTCCTGAGAGTGGGAAAGAAGCTGTTTAAGGTCCAGAGTCGAAACCCCCCTTCCGGGCCTTCACGCTCTGGGGACCCTCGCCACTCCTTGTGCTACTCTGAGGTGGTGTTTTCCAGACTGCACAGGTTTCCAGGTCCTCGAGCACACACAGGGTTGCTTGGATCCACACCCCGACTGGCACTGGCCACCTCTATGTGCTCACAGCCAGCTTACCGGGTGCCGCCCGCACCCGTTCCGCACCACACCACAGTCCTGTCAGGCGGCCCAGGAGTTGAAGAGGTGCAGACACAGGCACAAGCCGAGCAAGCAGACCGCATGGGCAGCGGTGCAGTGCCAGTGCAGCTGCACTGCAATGGGAGGGGTGAGGCCGGGAGACGTGCTGCCAGAAGAAAGACCTGGGGAGGAGGGTGTCACCTGAGGGAGACCCCAGGCCCTGAGGCAGCTGAAGTTCTCTGCCTGTGTCACAGGGGCTCTGGGAAAAGAAGCAAGGTCTTTGAGAAAAATGGAGATGGAGGAATTAAGACCTGAGTGGAGAGGACAGGGCGTGTGAGAGGCGCAGAGGAAGGGATGTCCCAGAAGTCATTGCCGCAGGGGACAGTGGGCTATGAGGGTGTTGCCCCCGAGGAGCAAGCGGGCAGGGGGTGCAGAGCATGCACAGCAGCCCTATACTGTGGGCATGATCACGCCACATGGGTTAGGTAACAATGGGGGTCCATCCGTGGTTTCAGACATGGAGGGGTGTCTGGGAATGTATCTCCTTGGGGTAAGGCAGAGATGGCTGTAGTTGAAACAAGCAAGATTTAAATGTGTTGGTTCATGAAAAGGCGAAGCCTGTCACTTCTCCCACCGTAGGGGAATAACCCAGTTAATCCAGTTGCTCCTACCTTGTGAATCTACTTTAGGACTCACGCGAAACACTTGATTGCGGTGACTTGTGGTCACCAAGTGGGGAGGTCCCCCATCCAGTTCTCCATGCCTAGGAGGGTGTCCTACAGGTGCGCTCAATATGAGGCTGCAAGGGCCCAGCCCGCCCCCCCCCCCAGTCAGGAGCAGCAGCCGGGGGGTGCGCCTCCAGCTCTGCCCCTCCCCTACTCTCGCCTGGAGAGGCCTGGCTCTGGGCAGCCTTCACCCCCCACCATGCTCCCCTGTGATCCCCTAGAGAATGCTCCTTTCCTTAAAGTTTCCAGCCCCAGCCCCACTCTGTCGCTTGTTCTTTCACTCCTGTCTGCAAGCCGCTCACCCCTCCTCCACCCTGGGTCTGTCCTCCCTCCTTTCTCTACTTCTCCGTCTGTCTGCGCCTCTCCGGGCCCCTCGCCCACACATCTGGAAGGAGCGGGGGTGGGGTAAGATGCCGCATGAGCATCGTTTCCGTGGGTGGGACGTGAAGAACGCGGGTGTCACCCCCACCCCAGGTCACCAGTCCCAGGCGGGGCCGGGAGAGCGCGGGGCGCAGAAGGCCGCCGGCCGGTGGGGGTGGGGGGGTCTCGGGGCGGCGGGCCCCTAGAGTCCCGGGGGAGGACACGGAGAGAAAGCAGGCGGACCTCGCACCACATCGCCCCAGTCCTCTCGGAGTGGAGGGGCGGCTCGGGGACCGTGAGCCCGCGAGCGACTCCCACGCTCGCAGGGCGGCGCGGCGGGTGCTCGGGAGCAGGGATTTAAACTGCAGAGGGAAACTCACTGCGCAGGGACCTCCGCTCGGCGCTTTCCGCTTCCGGGTCTGCTGGGAACGGCGCGTGCGCGACCGAAGAGGCGGGGCTGGGCGGACCGTTATCCTCCACAGGGGCGGAGCTTGAAGAGCGGCGAGCAAAGGGGCGGGGCCTGAGCATCCTCACGCACGTCACGCAGGGCCTTTTCTCCCGGGTTTGCGAAGACATAAGCCGTTTTTTGCGACTCCTGGAGCAGTGTTATTCCCGCCCACTTTAATATTTCTAAGCGTTTGGGGGAAAAGCTAGCGTTGTTGGGGCCCTTCTGTTGGGAGCTGAGATGCGCAAGGACGCGTGGATCGGTAGCAGAACTGGCAGATCGACTAAGTACACCGCTGAGGGAAGCAGCAGGGAGACAAGTCGGCGCCATGTGGGTCAGCTCCCTGGGCAGGGATCGAACTCTCCATCAGCTAGCTTGCAATGCTGCATTTTAAAACTCTGTGCCACCAGGGAGAGCCGATTCATCAAATAATTTCCATGATTGAGGAATGTTGGTTTGTAACCTAGTTGGAATTCTTTGAAGTGTTGGTGCTGAGGAGCCATTTTTTTACCTACTGGCCACCTTGTTTACTTCATAAGGTTTCCACTGTGTTTCTAGTATCTTCAAGCCATCTTGAAAGCTTAGTCCAAGTCTAGCTTGTTAATGGCACTCCATCCATGAGGTGGCTGCCTTCTACCAGTGAGCCAGAGGGATCCTCTGAAATTTCCTCCATCACCTCTCCCCTGACACTCAACACCACTTACGTATTTCCAGGTTTCGGTGAAGTCAAAACCTCTGACTGCGTGGTTTTCATGTCTCCCCAACATCACTGTCTGTAGTCCTTGACTAGTACCATTGGTCTCTTTCAGCTGAAATTTCTTGATTACACATGTAGGGGAGACATCTACAAGTTATCAACAGCCACAGGTATCCTATTAGTTACAAGTAAATGTTTCATGATAAAAACATAGTGTGACGCCAGAAGGAACACTCAAACAGAACACGGTTATGAAGCATTCCAACCATGATCTTCAAATTTCCAGGAACACGAAAGAAGGTGACTTTTCAGGAAAGATGACTGAGTATGTGTAACAGAAATTTATTTTCGGGAAGTCTAGTTTCAAAGACTCATGGCAGTAATGCTCATATCATACAAATTGACCTGTAACGACTCACACTTCGTTAGCTCTCAAGAGAAATGTCTTTCCACTATGAGCATAAATCACACACACACTCATAACTTACACATGCTGCTGTTTCATAATTGAAAAAAAAATTACCTGGGTAATTGTTGTATATAAAGAAAGCCTACATAAATAAATGTACATAAATAGCGCACATATATTGGAGTGGCAAAAAAATACAAAACAGTTTCATATAATGAATAATCTAAATTATTGGCATCTGAAAATTCAAAACAAAGCATTGAGAGACTGAAGAGTCCATAAAGCAATTTTTATGAAAATGAATTGTTTTTCTAAACACTTATTAAAAATTATTTGTACCAAAGAATTATATTAACAAGTGGTGCATGTCAGTAATGTTGCATTACAGGTGAAGAAAATGATAATCTATAAATGAAAAAGTACACATCAGTATTTCAAATATGGGAAGTCATTTACAAAGAATTCATTAAAAATAAAAATAACAGCATCTGTATAGGAAACATGCAAAATATTTTGAACATAGAATTAAGTAGTCACATCTCGCTGAACTGTGGAGATTTCAAACTGAAAAGAAAATGTTTGAGTGTAATCAAGTCCTTAACATCTATCAAAATCGTTTCTGAGTTTCACCACTTTAAAGATTTTCAAAAGCAACATTTCTAGTAAGTATGAAACTGTTTTTGTGTATCCTTCTAACCACCTGAAAACAAACTAGGGAAAAACTACACACATATAATGAAAGCTAAAGACTTTGAGCCACTTTTCAGTCCTCACCAGTCAGCAGATAATTCACTATGAGCAGAGACCATATGAATGTAATGAGTGTGGTGAAGACTTGATACAGTTCCCAAACCTCACAAGACCTACAGGGGCGAAGCCATATAAATGTAACAAGGTGACAAGGTGTAAATCCCAATGGGCACTTTGCCATCTGCAGGAGAATTCAGACTGGAGAGCGACCGACCGCATGAGGGTAATGAATGAGCTGACTAGGCTTTGTCAGATGTTAGGCCTTTGGTGACAGGAGAGAATAATGTGGAGAAAAACCTTCCAGACGCAGAGTGTGCTAAGAGTTTTACAAAATGTACGCACCTCGGGGATCGTGAGAGATCCACATGGAGAGAACCCACACAAATGTAGCAGATGTGGCAGGGCCAGGCACACGGACAATTCATCCCACTGAGAACTTCAGGAATGCAATGCATGTGGAAAGCATTTAGCCATGCCGTGTTCACGCCTATAAGCACCAGAATGTAGGTCCTGGAGGTAAGTCACATAGCCTGCACAGCTGACAAGATACCAGAGAATGGACCCTGAGAGGAAACATTCTGAATCCAGCGCACGTGACAACAATTTTATGCAAAGCTCAACGCTGGAGCTCAACAATTCATGGCAGAGAAACACAGATGTGAGTGGGACGAGGCCTTTAACTGTCTTCACCCCTTACACGACATCAGGGAATCCATACGGGGCCTTCAAACAGTACTCAAGCCAGTAACTAGACGTTAGAGTAGGCATTCCGGAGGAAACCACACATACAAAACCAACAACCAAGTGTGTGGTAAAGCGTTTTTCAAATACATCTTTGGGTCAAGAGAAAACATATAATGGAGAGAAGCCTTACACATTTCCTGAGAGCGGCGTAACTCAGACAGTGGCCCGCCTTCGGAATCCACCCAAGAGCTCAGATTGGAGGCTGTGTTCGGTCAGAGCATCCTCATGCTGTGAGGGAACCTGTCACCCTGGCGCTCCTTTCCTCGAGCGGCTCCCCTCGGGCAGATCTGCACAGCCTGGAGCCGCTGCGACTGACCCACGTGCATTCCCTCCTGACTTTTACCTGAATTCAGTGACCTCGCCAGCCCTTGGCCTCTGAACTCCCGGCACACTCGACCCCACAAAGCTGTGACCCCAGGCTCTCCGCGACTCCTCGTGCGCAGTGCTTCCTCCTGTGGTCACCCTGCCCCAGCTGTCTCGGCCCACAAGCCATCGCGACCCAACTCTCCAGGCTCCCCAGCACGAGCCCTCACTCGGGGAGCAATGCCACTGTGGACTCAAGAGCTGCACATCCTAATCACTACTGTCCGGAGCCTGCAGAGCTACCCAGCCATGGGCAGAGAACCCAGACGTCACAGGTCCGGGCTGCACCCACTCCCCCACACGTTCATGTCGTGCAGCTGCCCAGGAGCAGGGAAGCAGCCACTAGAGGAGGGCCCGAGTCTCCTGAATCTGTGTCTACATATGCCGGCCGGTGCGCGAGAATGTTCGTGCAGGCTGTGTGGGAATGTACATGCGGGAGTGTGTGCGAACACTCGCAGAGGCGCGTGGCGTCCACACGTGGCCAGCACGAGCATGGCCCAGGTGCTGCGGCCCTGTGCAGGTGCGTGTGTGGGAGTGGACACACGGGACGGCGGGGTTCAGGCTGGCCGGCCGCAGCTGTGTCTGAACAGCTGGGAGTCACAAGTGCAGGGGTGGCTCACGGTGCGGGCAGAGTGAACAGATGCGCAGTTATCCTGTTTTGTGGGCAACACCGGGCAGCAGCAAGGTTGGGTCATATGGTGTTTCCCGTTTCCATGTTTTTGAGGAATCTCCAAACCATTTTGCAGGAAAGCTGCCCCAAATCACACTCCCCCCAGTAGAAGAGTGTCCTGACAATAGGTAAGTTCTCTGGGCTACTAACATTGACTGAGTGAGCACGAGGGTCAAAGGTCAGAGTAAATGGGTGCCATCGCCACGTGAGCAAACTGAGCCACCCTTCCCGGTCTGACCCTCCAGGGCGGTGCCCAGAGCGCGGCAGGCCCAGCTCCACGCCTGCTGTCAGATGCGCAGGTGAGCAGCCCAGAGAGCACAGCCTCCCAGGACGCCTCCACCAGGTCCCAGGCTGCCCTGGTCATTCTGGGGAGCCCCTGAGTGCCCCAGGGCCCAGGGACGCAGACCTCCCCAAGGTCCCACATCTCTGCAGAGCCACTGAGGACCCTGAAGTTTTTCTTGGCAATTAGCAGCAGGAAAAGTTTTCCTGACTCTTCTGAGCTGCCAGGCCTGTCACTGACCTGCAGCTCTGGGGACACGATAATTGAAGCTCTGGGGAGGAGGGGACCCCTGTCAACCACTATATCTCAGGGCGCACTGGACCCAGCGCAGGGACACAGGCTGAGCCTCTGACCTGGGCCCAGCGCCCAGGCTGCAGGAAGCAGGCGAGTCACTGTGTACAACCAGGGGCGGGTGATGGAGGGGGCTGGGGTGCAGGGAGGGGACCCGGGCAGGAGGGGGGCCTGCTCCTGGACCATGGCACCTACAGGCACCTTCAGAGCAGTTAGGGCAGTGGGGGGTGGGCCCCTCCCTGAGGGCTCCTGGTGGCTCACGTTCCTCAGGCCAAGGGGGCTGCGGGTGATGCAGCAGGAGGACAACTCTCCTGGCTTCAGGGGCTTCTGGGGCCTCCTGCTGTTCAGCCTCCTCAGTAGAAGCCATAGCCTCAAAGTAGCCATGGGGGCGTCTGTGGGCCTCCCTGCTGGTGAGACAGAGCAGGGAGCACCCCTGGGTCAGCTGGTCCCGCCAGACAGCCCACCTGAGCCGTGGGGAGGGAGACGGTTCCCCAAGCAGGTGTGTGAGGGGCGCACTGGGCAGTGACTTCTGTCTCCACCACCCAGAACTGTCCGTTGCTGCTGGCAAAGCAGCACTGAGAGAAACGGACTTATGCAGCCGGGGGCCTGTTCTCTAGGGCAGCGCAACTCAGTTTACCGCGACCTCAGAGTCAGACACGCGGTGACGTCTGCACCGCGCCCGGCGCCTCGTCTGGGGCCCACGCGCGTCACTCCCGCCTCCCGGGGCGTCGGCCCCCACGGCGCAGGTCTCCGGGCTGCTCCCTTTCCCGAGTCCCGGCTTCCTGCTAATGGTGCAGTGTCTGGCCAACAGCGCTGTGCTCACGAGACAGTCAGGGACGAGCTTGTCCAGGGCTACCAGTCTCGGTGTTTCGTTGGCGGCCCGGGCCTGGCTTCGCCTTTGTCTCCTGCAGTGACAGCAGGCGGTCTGCTTGCTTCCACCCCCCGGGCCCGCGAGGCCCCAGGCCTGAGGCCCCAGGTGGGAGGGGGCGGCCGCCCCGCCGTGCCTGCCCTAGGCGCCCACGCTACTCAGGTCCCTGGGCCTGAGTCCCAGCTGCACCTGCCTGAAGAACCTCACCAGGGGGGCGCCTCCCACGGCTCGACTCTGGGCGCCGGTCTGCCCGGATGGCCGGGCCTCGGAGGCAGTGTGGTTTGGTCATCTGGAGACCGGGCCGAGGCCCTGGCCGGTGTGGGCTCAGCGTCCTGTGTTTGTCCCCCAGCCAGGTGCAGTTCTCCACTCGGCCCTGACGAGCAAGTTAATCTGACAGACGGGAACTTCTCTGGGCCCGTGCGCCCTCTTCATGAGGTCGGGACAGCGCTGCCTTGGAGTCTGCGAGGAAGGGGTGCCTGATTTGGGGGTCCTTGGCGCACTGAATCCTGGTTGTACCTTCAGCCACTGGAAGTCTCCAAAGTACCAAAAGCCTTTTTATTAAGGACTTATTTATTTATGCATACATGAGCTAGGTTAAGGCCAGAGATGTGAGGAGGGTAAAAGGACTCACCAGAGACAGAGCGGGGAGCAGAACAGATGATCCACTGCTGAGGGGAGCAGCGGGGAGACAGGAGACGTCAGCTGTGCCCAGTGGGTCACTCCCTGGCCAGGGATCAAACTCAGGCTGCAGAAGCTGCGGACAGCTTCACAGTGCTGAGACTTAACCCCCTGCCCCACCAGCGAGGCCCAGCACTGAGAGCCCTTAAGTGAACCCCCCAGAGTGGGGCTGTTGGTGAAGATGGAGGACAGGGCTGCAACTGGTCAGTCAGCTGCTGAGAACTGACCGGATGGACCCCTGGGAATTGGCAGTGGAAATGATTTTCTTGTTACAAACTCTGCTTGGGGTCCTGGGGAATCTTTTCCTCTTTTCCCATCAGTTCTTCCTCAATTTCACGGGCTGTAGACTGCGGGCCACTGATTTGATAATCAGGAACCTCATTGTGGCCAATTTCCTGGTCCTGATCTCAAGTGGAATCTGCTATCCACTGACATCTTTTGGGGAGTTCCCTGTCAACGATTTTGGGTGCAAGTTTTGCCATTATGCTCGCCAAGTGGGCAGGGGCGTGTCCATCAGCACCACCTGCCTCCTGAGTGTGGTCCAGGCCAGCACCGTCAGCCCCCCAGGCTCCACGTGGGCGGGGCTGAGAGACAAAGCTCCCAGGTACACCTGCCCCTCTCTCGCCCTGTGCTGGGTCCTGAACTTGGCACTAAGAGCCTCATATCCTGTGTTTGTAAGTAGTTCAAGCAATACCAACTCCTCAAACAGGAAGAAGTTTGGACAGTGTCATTTTCTTCATCATGACATAATCTCAAACTTGTTGTTTGCGTCTTTGCACTTGTCCCCCGAAGTCCTGTGTGTGGGGCTCATGGCCTGGGCCAGCGGCTCCCTGGTCTGCACCCTGTACCGGCACAGGCAGCGCGTCCGGCACCTGCACAGCTCCAGGGCCACCTCGGCGTCCTCCCCCGAGTCCAGAGCCACCCGCACCATCCTCCCCCTGGTGAGCACCTTTGTCTGCTTTTACCCCCTCTCCTCCATCTGCCAGGTGTTCTGGCTGTCCTCCACGACTCTACCATGGTCCTGGTGCGAGCCAGCTCCATCATCGCTGCCTGTTTCCCGACCGTCAGCCCCTTTGTGCTCGTGAGCTGGGACCTGGGCGCACCCCGACTCTGCTCCAGCTGCAGGAGGAATCCAGAGCCCCTTCCCCTTAGGAGAGATGGGTAAATGGTGCAGCACAGACATCTGAGTGAGATCACGGCCACTGCTTCCGAGTCCCAAGCCAGACCGCAGTCAACACGGGAGATGCAGGTGCCACGATGGCGGGACATCACCAAGGCCAGCACAGGGTCACTCGTGTCTGTGTGGAGCTCGCACGTCACCGTGCGGTCGAGGTGATGCAAAGGTGTTTCTGAGATTGGAGGCGTCGCTGTGCCTTCAAGGCGGACTCCACAAAACCTGGCCCTTGACTGGGTCGTGTTCTCAAGGAACAAAGTGGGTGTGTCAATCCCACGCTCTTACCGACAGGAGCATTCGGCGTTTAATGCAAGTGAAGATGAAACCTAGTTTGAGGGCGCCTCTGGAGGCGGCGCGGGATCGGTCTGCTCTTGTGCGTCTGAGTCACTGGGTGCCGGAGGACACCCCAGCCTGGCCGAGGCACTGAGAAGCCTCCGCAGGGCTCATCTCTCTGAGCAGATGACCCCTCTGGTGATTGCTGGCCGGGAAGGCTTCGACTCCAGGCTGTGTTGGATCTATGCGCCGAGATGGGGGGAGGCGATTCCCCCCCCTTCAGCAGTAGTCGCCGGCCTCGCTTCCTACTCACACAGCAAGTGTGCGGTTCTCACCGTCGCTACCTGCTTAAAAGATTCTCGCTGGTGGTAAGCAAGGCATCACTCTGGTGTGGAGTCGTGACAGGCGGGGAGACTGAGCCTAGCTAGGCGTATGGTGTAAATCTGCGCCACTCAATTCTGCTGTGACCCCAAAACTGACTAAAAAAAGAGAAGTCCTCAAGTAAGTATACACAATATTTTCTTGCAACTATCAAAAATCTACTCCATCAATGTCTATCATGGCGTCCATTTGCTGCTCTGCATACCGGCCACATTCAGTGCGCTATGTGGGATTCAGCGCGGACAATGACGGCTAGGCCTGTGAGCTGAAACTAATGGTTATTTTGCTTCTACACTATTCTATCACGTATGGATATGTTCCAGAGCTTAGGCATGCTTGGCCATCCCACCTCTGAGGGAGACGCCTTTATACCTGTACCCTGACACCCCAGTCCGAGGCGCCTGGTGGGTTCAGTTCTCACACCCGTCGCCGCCTTTCCCTGGGAACTTACTGCCAGGAGTGCGCCTCCATTTAGTGGTTTGTTTCTAGAGATTTATTTATGCCATCAAGCACTGGGGTACAGGCCAGAGGTACAGGGGCTGAGAAGATTCACCAGAGACAGACTGGGGAGCAGGACAGGCGGGTCTACTGAAATAGACTAGGGAGGCCCATGTCTCCATTTATTAAGACAGCTAAAGCTTTATTTGTCATTGATACCCACCTATGGAATAAATTTTAACAAGTGGAATCTTATTAAAACCAAAATTGGGGCCCTCCCTGGTGGCGCAGCGGGTTAAAGCACAGCACTAAGAAGCTTAAGCCACTTCCACATGAGTTCGATTCCCGCCTGCCCCGGAGGTGACCACATGGCCCAGCAGACCTCTCCTGACCTGCCCGCTGCTCCCCTCAGCAGTGTACTTCATCGATCTGCCTGTTCTGCTCCCCGCTCTGTCTCTGGTGAAGCCTCTCACCACCCCTGAGCCTCTGGCCTGTTAGCCCAGTTCTGTATGAATAAATAAAATCTTAAATAAAAAAAAAATTGTACATCATGAAAGGGAGCAAAATCAACTCTGTAAATCTGGATTATCGGATGAGCACAGCTTTTTAGTGGTGCATGAAAAATGCTATGGACTTGGATAGGAATTATATTCAACACGTAGAATATTTTGTAAAATGGCCATTTTAACGATGTTGGCTCTTCCAGTCCATGAACACGGAGTACCTTTCTGTATCTCCAGTTTCCCTCAGCAAGGCCTTAGTTTGCAGTGTCCCGTCCTTCATGGTGTTGATTCCTTGCTGCTTTCTCCTTGTGGCTGACTGCAAGTGAAACTGTTTTCCCACTTTGTCTTTCTTCTGGCTCATTGTTTGAATATAGAAATCCAAGTTTTGCATATTGATATGGTGACCTGACACTTATTTCTAATGGCTTTTTTTAGTGGCATCTTTGAGCTTTGATGTATTATTGCGTCATCTGCAAGTAGTGAGTTTTACTTCTTTCCAATTTGAGTTCTAGCTTCCTGCCTAACCACCGAGACTAGGCCTTCAGTAAGTACACTGCTGAACGACAGTGACAGTGGGTGTTCTCGGAGTCCTGCTCTCCGAGGAAGTGTGCCGCGGAGATGGCAGCCCACCGGCCCGTCATCGCTGGCTGGAACGTTCCTTCCCAGTCCCTGGCAAGCTGCCCACTAGGCCGCACATTCCTGTCTGCTGAGGGAGGGTGTCCCACCTGCCCGCCCTCATCAGCTCACGTCTTTTTTTCAGTCCTTCAGAAATGTGTATCTTAAGAAAGAATTTTGCTTTTGTTTGTTGTGGGGGTTGAGGGTATCAGGATGAGGGGCTGGGTTTGAGTCACAGGCCCTACTCCTGAGAGAGCAGTGAGTCACTCTGGTTCCCTTTACCTCACCCCCAGTGCCCAGTGGGGTAACAGGCCTGTGGTGACTTGAGGGCCCGGCTGGCGAAGTCACCTTGCCAACTGCTACAAGCCCCTCGCACCCGTGGAGCCTGGCCTCCCTCCAGTGGCCCTGGGGCCACCCACAGCAAAGCCACTGCGGAGGCGCCTGCTCCTCTCAAGGCTCCTTGGCTCAGAATCCAGGTGACCTGCCACGTGACGAGCCCGGACCGTCGCCTCACAGCCTCGCCTGTCTGCCCACCTAGGAATGCATCCTACTATCTGTGCCTCCACTTCTGTTCACGTGTTCTTGGCTGGATTTGGTCACAAAGACAGTCAGGTGCCCAGAGCCCTGGGAAGGACCTTTCAGTGCTGGCAGCCCGCACCGGCGAAGCATTGTGCCCGTGCTAGGGGAGAGTGGGCACAGCAGCCGGGGGGGGGGCGAGGCTGCCGGCTCGAGCTCCCAGAGACTGAATGGGGAGCCGGCTGCAGGCCCCAGGCCCACCCCAAGGGCCCTGTTCTCACCGCCCCCGGCTTCTGCAGGCAGGCACCTCAGACACCCACTCTGGAGGTTTCCAGAGAATCCTCCAACCTCAGGTCTCCCACAGGAAACAGCCTGCTGGGGTGCCCCTCCGCCACGTCAGTGATGCAACCAAGCACCAGCTGTTTCTAGACCTTTATTTCTCTGTGAAAATGGGGGCGGGAAGGAATAAAATAAAAACGACACAGTTGACACAAAAAAAAACCACTGAGCGGGGGCTAGGGAGGACGAGAAGTTGAGGGGAGGGGTCCACGACAGCAGCAGGATCAGTGACCCGAGCTCACACTCCGCCCCCGCCCAGATGCGGTGGGGCCTGTCCCCCCGGGGTCTGCCCTGTGGCGCCGAGTGCCCAGCCCCAGGGAGGTGGGTGGTAAGGCTGGAGGAGGAACCGTGCGGGGGCCTGGTCAGACCATGCACCGGGAGTGACAGCCAAGCCCCGTCTCCCGGAGGGGCGGACGCGGTGGGTGGCGGCGGCAGCAGCTCCGCTTCAACATCAGGCAAGAGACAGAACTGGGGGCAGCACAGGAGGGGGCAGCACAGTGAGCCCCACCTGCGCCCTCCCCGTGCTGGCGCGGCCCACACCACCCTCCGCCTTACCAGTCAGAGCCTCCTGGGCAAAGTACTTGACGTCCACGTCCTGGTCCTGGGTCAGCTTCTCTAGGATGGGCTTGACTTCACTCTGCAGCGTGCTGCGAGCAGAGGGCAGGGTGAGCGGACGGCCCGGGGGCCCAGAGGCCCAGGGGCCCTGGCCCGGACACGTGATCAAGCCCGAGCCAGAGCCAGGAAAGCTCCGCAGCTGAAGGCTGGGCAGAGGCCGAGGCCCGGGCGCACAGAGGCAGGGCACCTGCCCCTCAAGAGGCTGCGGGTGCGGCTCTGGGTTCTCGCCTTGCGGAGTCTGGCAGGCGTGGCGAGCGCCTAGGGGAGGAACACA